TAACTCTAGTTCCATGGGATCTGACATACTCTTCTGGACTTCATGGGCACACATACATACATATACATAAATAAAAATTTTAAAAATGCAAAAATCGTTTTAAATTTGTTACTCCTTATATAGACAGGCTAGCCTCAAACATGTTATGTAATCCAGACTGGCCTCCAAAGTCAAGATTTTCCCACTTGAGTCTCCTGAGCACTTGGGATGACCTGTGTGAGGTATCACTCCCTGTCCCTCTGCTTTTACCGGAGACCAACCCGAGGTTCACGTCCTCGTCTGATGCCCTTGCTAAAGTTTCCATGGCTGCTGTCTACTCTCAGCTCCACAGGTGCTGTGACGTCTATTCTGTTGTTGCCAGGCTGCTGAGGATGTAAGATTCTGGGCACAGGATGCTCTCACTGGACATGCTGTAAGAAAGTCAGCATCCACAGAGTAGAGTGAACTCAAATCTCAGGAGTGGGCACCACTGTTTTGAAGATCAGGGCTTCGACTGGAATGTCTCACTACTGGCCTTCCTCCTCAGCCTGGTTCTCCCACTCCTCTGGCCCCCCTGGTTTGGTAAACTTATCTCTCTTACGGCCTCTTATCAAAACCATGCCCTCCTCATTTGAAAATGAGACCCATAACATTGCTCCTGACCACACAGAAAAGGAGGCCTCTGAAAGAAGTGTGAACTTGAATTTCTGTTTTGTTTTCATTCATTTGTATGTAGGAGCGCGGGGTCTGGGGGTTATGTCAGAGACCAGAAGAGAATACCAGGTCCCCTGGAACTATAGATGGTTGCTACTTACCATGTGGGTGGTACAATCCTAACCCTGGTCCTCTGCAAGAGCAACTAGTGCTCTTAACTGCTGAGCCGTCTCTCCACACACACATCCTTTTAAAAAGCATTTGTTTGTGTGTGTGCTTTCATGTGGATGTCAGAGAGCAGTGTGTGGGAGTCTGTTCTCTCCTTCCACCATGGGAGTCCTAGGGATCTAATCCAGGTCCTCAGACTTGTGGCAAGTGCCTTTAATTGAGCCATCTTGTTTCCCTCCTTTTTAGTTAGCCTGCCCCCTCATTTCAAGTTGTTGGAAGATGAGAAAAGTCTCCCAAGAGGTAGAACTTGAGAACAAGTCTGAAAACACAAAGAAAGTCCCTATAAGCTGTTGAGTGGGGGAGGTTCTGTGCCTGGGGAAGCCGTGACAATGGGAAGAATCCTCAGTTTGGACCGGACTTAGGGACCAGAAAATAGCACATTAGGAGGGAAAGATCCAAATTATGGCTGATGCAATGGTGAGAAGGGTCTGGGTTCTGGCATGGAAGGACAAGCATAAAGACCTGGGGAGCTCTGAAAAGATCTTAAGCAAGGAAATAATCTAAGAATATTTGAACCTCAGAAAAGACATGGTGTAAGAAGATACCATTTGTAGATTATCAGAATGGCAAACTTAAAATGACAATGACAGGGTAGGGCGGTGGCTCCGTGGATAAAACCCTTGCTGAGAACCAGAGGTCAGATCTCCAAAACCCATGTAAGACCCTGGGCAGGTGTGGTCATTGTAGTCCCAGCATTTAAGAAACAGAGACAAGGGATCCCTGGGGAAAGCTGGCTAGCTGGACTAGCTGAAATTGACATGATGGAGTTTATCTAGAGATTTTGCCTCAATAAAATGAGGGTGGCCAAGGTAGATACCCAACATCAAATCTGAGCCTCTACATGCACACATATGTAACCATACGCATAGGAACATGCATACACACACACAGATACGCAAGCAACTTTAAATAAATAAGATAACATTGATCAAGGAGAGAGAAAAAACAGTGTTCTGATGTGCTGATATAAATGGAATCATTTCAGAACGATGTTTGATAATGTTGAGAAAGAGATGGAGAGATAGAGAATCCTAGAGCCTCGAGTTACCTAAACCTAGACTTTCTGATTTGGTAAAACTGACAGCGGTTGGGAAATCTGTGTCGATAGGGAGATAGAGAACAAGAACACAGGTTCAGGTTCACAAGAGCCAATTCTCTCCCCAACCCCTCTGTTCAATGGCATCTTATCTGGGAGCCTCAAACGGCCTGTGGTGGAAGGATTTGTGCCACAAAAAGCAGCAGGTGGTATGAACAGGACTCCCTCCTCTCCGTGATGGGTTTGAAGTTCCAGGAAGAACAGAGATGTTTAATAGCAACTAAGATTGATGAGGTCTTGGGAGTTGCTGCTTTCTAGAAAGAGTGGAAGCAGTGTGATCACTCAGACAACACAAAGAGCCAAGCAAGGATGTGTAGGGACAGCAAGACTTAAGAGAAAAAGAAGGAACCGGAGAATGCAGGAAGACTGCTACAGAAGGCAGGAGGGAACCAAGAGAAGCTGACACCGTGGACCAAAAGGAGAAATATCGAGTGATGCAAACAGTTTGGGATGGAATGAGTTTAGGGTGAGAGCCACAATGAGGTTACGGCAGCTGCCGGGAATGAAGAAGGCAGTGCAGGGAGGTGAAGGTCAAGTCTGCATGTGCCCATTCAGTCAAGACCTCGTGGGCCATCAGGAGGCACTTGAAACATATTCTAAATGCTATGGGAGCTTGTCCAGGGATTTTAATAGGGGAGTGAAGATACAGGATAGCAATGTTAAACATACCACTCTGGGTCCAGTGAGATAGTTCCACTTGCCTTGGAAAAGTAATGACCTGACTTCAAACACCAGATCCTATGTTAAAAGGTGAGACCCACTTTCAAAAGTTATCATCTGTCCTCCACATACATACTATGTGTGACACACACATTTCACACTCACATGCTAATAATAAAACAAAACAAAAATTCTTTTTTTATTTTGTTTATTCTCATGACAGCAACTGCCTGTTGTGCAGGGTATACAGGAAAGAAGGTAGACCACTAGAACCAAGGAGTTAATGGAAGCCAGTGCGGTGAGCCAAATAGAGGATAGAATAAGAGGGCTGGAAGGGGTAAAAGTGTGCCGATTCAGGTCACAGCACTTGCTAATTAACTGGATGTAGGAAAAAATCAAGTACTAATGTTTAGGGTTTGAACACTGAGTAGGTGATGCCATTTACAAAGATGGCAAGATGGTGAGGGGGAGGCATAGGTTTGGGGATAGGAACAAGAATCCAGACCTTACTCCTTCCTTCCTTCCCTTCTTCCTTCCTTCCTTCCTTCTCTCCTTCCTTCCTTCCTCCATTCCTTTCTTCCTTCCCTCCTTCTTTTCTCCCTTCTTTCCTTCCCTTCTTTCCTTCCTTCCTTCCATTCAAGACAGGGTCTCTCTATGTAGCCCTGATTGGCTTCAAATTTACTTATAGAACAGATTGATTGGTCTTCAACTCACAGAAATCCACCTGTTTCTGTCTCCCAAGTTGTGGAATTAGAGATGTGTACTACTACACCAGGCTTTCCTGACCCCGATAAAGTTTCTTTCACTATGTTGCCAAGGCTAGTCTCAAACTCATGGGCTCAAGTGATTCTCCCTCTTCAGTCTCCCAAGTAACTGGGATTATTGGCAAGCAACCACACAAAGCCTGGCCATTTGTTTGGCTTTTAGAGATAGGGTCTCCTTGGGCAGTCAAGACTGATCTGGAATTCCTTATGCAGTCTAGGCTGGCCTCAAACTCACAATCCTACTGCTTCCACCTTCTGTGAGTTGGACTTATAGGCATACATCACAGCTTGGGCATATTAAATATTATAGACACACAAGCAGAGAAGAAGCCAAATAAGCAGTTGGCTACCCAAATCTGGAGCCAAAGAGTGAAGTCATAGCTAACTTTGAAGTCAGTCATAAGCGTCTACCTCTTACCCAAATTCTGAGACAGTGTGAACACAGAAATCTGTGTGTGTCCCTTCTCACGTGACTTGATTGAGATTGGGTAGCTCTATATTTGGGAAGAGGATAGAGGGCACTTAGAATGTAACTTCTGACCTTTGTGACCTGGGAGCTAGTAGGACTAAGGGATGACTAACTGACTCAGTACAACTAACAAGGAAATAGTGCCAGAAAAAAAAGAGGACTGTAGAGAAACTCTGAAAGATTTATGTCTTCCCATGCCCAACTCCTAACATTCTGCTTGATAAAATTAATTTACTAGGAAGAAGAAAAGAAGGTGACACTGAAAGCACTCAGTTTGGGAGCCCCAATGGAGGGGAAGAGATTAATGTGGGTATTAACATAGTCACACAGGCTCCTCCCCTCCAATCCATCTCTGGCCTCAGTCAAGAACCAGAGCTTTCAGAACCAGTATAGGAAGCATCAGGAGAAGACCTGACTCCCATAAAGAGATCACATACCCTGCCCAATATGAAATGAAGTAGGCACATCCAAAGAACTGAGATGCAAGCATTCCTCATTCTGAGCAAGACAGACAGACAGAAATACTGAAGGCCATGCTTTCTAAGCTTCACTGTGTACTGAATCATCTGGAGATTTTGGTAAATGTAAGGTTTGTGTGAATAGGTCTAGGGAGGACCTGGGATTCTGCACTCCTGACCTCCCAAGAGTGTGACATGACCATTGAGCACTTGGGTTCTGAAGTGTGATCTTCTGAGCCTTCCATCTTACTGGGTAATGTGACCTTAAGTAACCTTTTAACCTTGCTGCATGCCAGCTTTCTCATCTTCCTGATGGAAACAAGACTGCTGTATGGACATTGAGTCAGCACTTGTAGCATGGTTAACACTGTTCTGATGGCCATATACTCTTCCACAGTAGTTCACACACCCACACGGTGTCTCCTTTTGATTCACAGGCAAATATATACCACCATGTCTCTACCAACAGAAGGCTCATGTCTTCTCTTTCAAATTCCTCTAACCTTTCTGCCCACTCCCCCTCCTCTGGCCCCTGGCCCCAGTGTGGTCTGAATGGGCCCCAGAGGGGCAGAGACAGGGACAGGACGTGGGGCTGTATCTGACAGGAACCTGAGGGGCTGGCCCGGGAGGGGATTGGGGCCCAGCTTCCTGAAGGGAGGATGGGCTAAGGCAGGCACACAGTGCCGGAGAAGATGCCCTCTTGGGCCCTCCTCATGGTCACCTCCTGCCTCCTCTTGCCTCCTCCAAACCAGGCACAAGTTACCAGTCAAGGTGAGGTGTACAGAGGGTGGAGATTATCTATGCTCAGGCCAAGGGAACCCTGGGAGGGGATGAAGAACCCTGGGAGGGGATATAGGGTAAGAGACTCCCACTGGTCCCCTACTCTGAGCCACAAACATGATTGAAAGAATCTAGAGCCCAACTCACCAACTGTTTCTCAGATGTCTTCTTGCTGGCCTTGGGCACAGAGCCCCTGAACTGCTTCTCCCAAACATTTGAGGACCTCACTTGCTTCTGGGATGAGGAAGAGGCAGCACCCAGTGGCACATACCAGCTGCTGTATGCCTACCCAGGGTAGGTTCTGGACTGAGCCCCAGCCCCATTTATCTGTCCCTATGTTTAGCTGAGTCACACTCTTAGTTTCCCTGTCTTTGGCCCTATCAGAGAATTACTCCAAATACATGCCCAATACATAACCACACTATAAATCGCCCACCTCAAGGCCCTTCAGAATTCCTAATCTCACCTACTGCAAGCAGTGAGAAGAAAATGACCATAATGGAGACAGAAATTGGGCATGGGTTCAACCTGGGTCATCAAGGATGAGCACGATATCTGTATCGGTAGAACCTCTCTTGTGCCAACAGAGAGAAGCCCCGTGCATGTCCCCTGCATTTCCAGAGTGTGGCTACCTTTGGAACCCGATACGTGTGCAGGTTTCCAGCCCAGGATGAAGTTCGCCTCTTCTTTCCGCTGCACCTCTGGCTGAAGAATGTGTTCCTCAACCAGACTTTGACCCAGCGGGTACTCTTTGTGGACAGTGTAGGTAAGGGCATCTCTGTCACACTGCCGCCCCATTTGTGCCTGCTAAAGCTCCCAGAATCAAGACTGCCTGTAGTCTTTCAGGGCACTGTGGGTACCCTTCTCTATCAGATTCCCAGAAGCATCTCAGAACCCCTTATTATTCCTCCAAGCCTTTGGCATCCAGAACTATATTTCTTCCATAAATCATTTCACACCAAGAATACCTTACTCCTCTCATTAGCATATACATTTACTCACGTATTCAACAGTCAGATCACCCAATGTGTGCCAGGTGACAAGGAGACAGACATGAAAAGAGGTCCCTGGCTTAAGACGCACAAATCTAACAAACCATTGCACCATAGTGAGCTCGTTGTTCTCAAGAGGATAGGAGAACAGGACAGGCAGCCTCCCTCCCCCGCCCGCTCCTCCTTGGAAATGGGAACCAGTGTCTTTCTTTTTAAATCCAGGGTTGCTCTATTCAGCCTTCAGCGCCCCTCTCTGCAGTCCATGGGTTGAACCATAGACGGGCACTCAGTGAGTTGATGTGCCTTGTCTTGCCCTCAGGCCTGCCAGCTCCCCCCAGTATCATCACGGCCAGGGGTGGGAGCCAACCGGGGGAGCTTCAGATCCACTGGAAGGCCCCCGCTCCTGAAATCAGTGATTTCCTGAGGCATGAACTCCGCTATGGCCCCACGGACCCCAGCAACTCCACTGGCCCCTCAGTCACTCAGCTGCTCTCCACAGAAACCTGCTGCCCTATGTTGTGGATGCTGAATCCAGTTCCTGCTCTTGACCAGACTCCATGTGTTCAGCCTACAGTACCCCAACACCATGGACCAATGAAAACCTTCCCAACTGGAGAAGTATTTTACCTTTCTACTCCTCCTTCTATTTCCTACCCCAACATGGAAAAGAAAAGTCATACTTAGGGGATCCTGGACTGGGTTGGTCTTTGAGGAGCCAGTGTAGACCCTGAGTAGCTTGAGTCTAGCAGTGTAGACTCAGGATCCCTATCTAGGGATCTCCCACATTGGAACATTCACACTAACATAATTGAAAGCTTTCAGATCTCCAAATTGAGACTTTGTAAAGATCCCTAAACACAACCCAAAATTTGTCAACACAGCCCCTGTTCTGTGTGTGTATCTATACAGCAAGGAGTAGAGTTTTGCATAGTGGTTCAAATACTAGGTATGTGGGCTATCTTAGCTGAGAAACAAGTCTAGGATTCTTCTCCCCAGGCTCCATCTCTGACAGTGAAGGGTGGACGCTGTCTCATCTCCGGGCTCCAGCCTGGCAGCTCCTACTGGCTCCAGCTACGCAGTCAACCGGATGGGGTCTCCCTTCGTGGCTCCTGGGGACCCTGGTCCTTTCCTGTGACTGTGGACCTTCCAAGAGATGCAGGTGGGTCAGTAAAGGAATGAAGAGATAGGGAAGGGGTTAAGAAAAATCTCCACGGAGGCTTAGGCTGGGAACCATGGTCATGGCTGTCACCTCAAACCTGTCATTGCACAGGACAACTATGTTCAGAAGAGAAGAAATAATAGGTGAGGATGTTCTGTTCTGTGTGTAGAGACAATGTAAGGACTCTCCTGCGTAAACACGCATGGCCCTCTCCTTTGACTGCAGTGGCAATTGGACTTCAGTGTTTTACCTTGGATCTAAAGAAGGTTGTCTGCCAGTGGCAGCATCAAGACCACACTAGCTCCAAAGGCTTCTTCCACCACAGCAGGACACGGTGCTGCCCCACAGACAGGTAAGACTTGAACTGTCGGCCGGGTGTTGGTGGCTCATGCCTTTAATCCAGCACTCTGGAGGCAGAGGCAGGAGGATCTCTGGTCTACAGAGAGAGTTCCAGGACAACCTCCAAAGCCATACAGAGAAACCCTGTCTCAAAAAAAAATAAAAAAAAGAAAAGACTTGAACTGTTGGTTGAGTCTGAACCTGCAGAAGGTCAGCACCGCTGCGGGTCCTCTTCACTCGCCTACATTATCCTCTCCAGGCCCTGTCTCTGTTCTTTCATTCTTCAATGAGTGTTTTTATTGTCCCACCCTCTCTTAATTTCTGCAGGGAATGGCTTAGTTCCTTCAGACTTAATCACCTCATCTGGATGCTTGAGACAGCCTAGCAGGCATGTCCAACATTGGTAGGGCACAAAGGCTGCATGTGGCCCAGGACAGCTATGACTGTGGCCCAACACAGTATCATAAACTTACTTTTATTAAAACATGCAGTTTTTTGTAACCCAGTTGTGTGGTGTCACGTTTGAACTTTATATGTAACACAAACTTTATGTGTACTATCAAAAGGTTGAACACCCTTGGCAATTCTATTCACCTTCAGTTTGTTCCCCATGATTGCAAGATATTTGTGAAACTGGTTGGTCATGACATCCTACTACTTATATATGTACTTCAATGTCCTGTGATCTGTGATCTAGTAAATCTGAACAAAACCCACCTCCCTGATCCTTCATCTTTTCTGAATTCAGTCTGTTACCATGTTGCTCATTTTACACACTAAGTGTGCCTATTATCTGCCCAAAGTTGTGCCGCTGCCATTGCCCTGTTACAATCCATCATATTGGGGAGATAGATTATCTGGTAAAGAGAGGGCTTGCCTGACATGCATAAGGTCCTGGGTTCAATTCCCAGTATGGGAAGATATCATCTCCCACTTGTTCTCTAAAAAGAGTTCTTCACACAGGAACTGGAGAGATCTAGAAGTTTGGAAATGAACAGAACACCCCCTGCTTGAAAACCCTTAATAAGTTCCCACTAATCTTAATGAAATCTACTGTAGTGTCGTAAGTTTTAGAATGCCCGACTGTTACACATGACTTCACAGATTTTCATAACGTGGAGGTGTAATCCATGTGTGCATTAAGGTGACAAAATCAAATCGGAGCCAGGGGTAGAAACGCATGCCTTTAATCCCAGCACTGGGGAGGCAGAGGCAGGTGGATCCCTGGTTTACAGAATGAATTTCAGGACAGCCAAGGTTACACAGTGAAAACCCGTCTTAAAAGGCAAAAAATAAGTTTAAGAAAACAAAAATAAAGAGAATTTTCCCCCATAGCACAATACTACTCCCTTTATGTCTGCACAGCATGTGCCTGGAATAAGTTGTTCCTCTACCTAACCTATTTATAGCCTCAGTGTAAACCCTATCTCTGCCAGGAAGCATTCCTTGACCCTCCCTCCCAGCTAGCAACTCTGCTATGATCTCTCCAGTCAACCTGTGCTCAACGCAGAAAAATATGGCCCTTGTTTTTTGTATTTGCCCATTGACGTGAGGGCTCCTTCAAGATTTTGTTTTGTTTTGTTTGTTTTTCAAGACAGGGTTTCTCTGTGTAACAGCTCTGGCTGTCCTGGAACTAGCTCAGTAGGCCAGGCTGATACTGAACTCACAGAGATTCGCCTGCCTCTGCCTCCCGAGTGTCTGCCCTTTACTCAAGAGAAAGAGACTAGACCTCATGAAATAAAGGCAGAGAGAGTCCTAGAGGCCCGAAGCACAGAGGGAGGACTTCACTTACAACCCATGCAGGTCACAGTGCCTGTGTGTTGGGAAGACTGAGGAGTGGTATCTGGGGCGAGCCTGCTTTAATGACTCTCTTGAGTTGATTTTTAGGGATCCCACCTGGGAAAAATGTGAAGAGGAAGAGGAAACAGGCCCAGGGTCACAGTCTGCTCTCTTCTCCCGATGTCACTTCCCGTCACAAAATGACAGTGTTATTCACATCCTTGTAGAGGTGACCACAGCTCAAGGTGACATTCACAGCTACCTGGGCTCACCTTTCTGGATCCACCAGGCTGGTAAGAACCTTCCTTCCTGTATTCACATACGATTCCCACCTTCACCAAATCTGATAGGCTAAGACTTGAACTCTATAGACTATGTTCTTCCATCTTTGCTTGTGTCTTTATTGTTATTATTATTATTATTATTATTATTATTATTATTATGTCAGCTCTGACATTTCTGACCCATGGCCCTGATGACATGATTCCTAATGCACGAAAGGGCTTAGCCGTTCCTGTTGAAACCCCCTGCAGTGCTCCTCCCCACCCCAAGTCTGCACTGGAGGGAGGTCTCCAGTGGGAGGCTGGAATTGGAGTGGCAGCACCAGTCATCCTGGGCAGCACAAGAGACCTGCTACCAGCTCCGATACACTGGAGAAGGCCATGAGGACTGGAAGGTACCATAAAGTAACAGACGCCGCTGCACATGGCATTCCCCATGCCAACACTGCCTCTGTCTCAGTATCTAGACATGTACACCTGTGCTTATCTGATTCAACTGGTATCTAAATCCCTCTTGGGCATGTGGCACCATGGGCTACTCCATTCATACAGTTCTCTCTCTGTGCTGGAGATGTATCTCAGTGGCACAGCATGCAAGCAGCCCTAGTTCCATCCCAGAGCCATTAAATTAATTTTTTTCCTTTGCCTGTGAGATAGCAGCTTCCCTCATCTCCTACCTACCTCTCTCGTTGAGTTTTATCTCTTCTTCCCTGGCTCCTCCTTCCCAACTCTTTCGTGAGATGTTGTTCTTACTAGCATCCCATGCAAAACACTCTCTCCTTGATAAATACATCTGCTCTGCCTAGGTGAGTAGTTCAGCCCTACGGTTTTAAGGACTATACACTAACTACACATTAACAACCCCAATTTTATCATTCTAGAGGCCACACTGAAAGAGGGCTAAGCTCCACATGCAAATTACCTAAATTTTTGAAGTCTCCTTAGTGAGATGGGGAGAAAGCTACCTGCCTTAGAGTTGGGTAAAAATTAAGTATAAGGGCTGGAGAGATGGCTCAGAAGTTAGCAGTACTTGTTTCTGCAGAGAACCCAGGGTCAGTTCCCAGCACCCACACAGTAGTTTACAACCATCCCTAACTCCAGTTTCTCCTCAGGGAATTTGAGAACATCAGGTACACATCTGATGCACATACCAAGACAAAACATTCATACACATAAATCTAAATTTTAATATGTAAATTCCAGACATACAGAAAGGTACCCCATACACAAAAATTGTTGTATTATCAGTTAACGTGTACATATATACATGTACATGTATATTTTCCTATCGGACAACTCTGGTAAACAGCTTCGTCCCCAGAAGATCAGATGCAATGTAGCCAAAGCTAAATTCATTTTCCTCCTCAGTTGTACTGTTTTTACCAGATATAGCTCATATACAATAATATACACAAACCTTGAGTGAGTATAGCATCAATTTTCATGTATATGCCATACATGTAGCCAAATTGTCAATTACCCAGATCTACATATAGCATTCACAAAACTCCATTAAATCCTTATGCCTCCTACAGTCGCCCTGCATAGTAACCAAAGCTGACCACTATCTTGGCATTACTCCTTTGACTGTACTTAAACTTTATAAAGTTTATATGCTATTTTTATTTTCAAGCTTATTTCTTTCATCTCTTTGACAGTGGCTCTGCCTCTTATCCAAGACCTGAACCCAGAAGCATCCTTAATTCCTCCTTTCACTTTCCCTTCTCCTATTTATCAACGAGTAATTTGAACAAAGTATTAAACCCTCCTCACTTCTAGCTTTCCCTTTGACCAATCGTACTTTTGGCACACTAAACTAGGCAGTATTAATTGTTTCATTGTGCTCCCATGATGCCTTGCACTAATTGATTATCTGCCTAATTCTTCAGATGAAACTGTTCCATTTACTTTTGTCTCTAGCGTCTAGCTCAATGCTTGGCATATCCTAAGCAACTCAAATGTTTGCTAAGTGTATAGTAGTATCCCTGCTTGCACAAAATAGTGTTTGTAGCCCCAGAACCTAGCGCAAATCTAGCGTCCTTTGCGCTATAGTACTTGTGGTATGGTCTATGGCTCTGAGGGTTCTCGAGCTTGTATCCAAGGCCTGACCAGTAGGGATGGTGAGCGCCTGTAGCCGGGTCCCCACATCTTGTGGCAGAATACACAGCTTTATAAATTCCGGGGTTCGTTCCCAGGCGTGATCTCAGGCAGGGCTTTCGATCCTGCACACCTCTGCCGATGAGGCTCTTTGTGCAGATCCCGGACCGCTCCAAACTGGGTGCTCAGACCCCTCCACGCTTTTCCTCGCAGGTGCTGGAGCCATCTCTCGGGGCCCAGGGAGGGACCCTGGAGTTGCGCCCCCGAGCTCGCTACAGCTTACAGCTGCGCGCCAGGCTCAACGGCCCCACTTACCAAGGACCCTGGAGCGCCTGGTCCCCCCCAGCTAGGGTGGACACCGGCTCCGAGACTGGTGAGGATGGGCAGGGCCGAAGCCGGTCAACGCTGCCTAAAGGGCGTGGTTTTGTTATGGGAGGGACGATGGGCGGGCCTCGGAGCCCCCTGTGTCTCAGTGCTTTGTTGGGTGCTTGGAAGACTGAGGGTGGAGCCAGGGCTGGGGTCGGCACGCCCCCGGGCGGGGCCGAGGATCGGCTGAAGTCATAAGCTTTTCGCCTCCTAGCTTGGATCTCCTTGGTGACCGCTCTGTTCCTGGTACTGTGCCTCAGTGTCCTCCTCGGCCTGCTGCTGCTGAAGTGGCAGTTTCCTGCGCACTACAGGTACCGCCCCAGCCAAGAGGGTGATGGGGTGTGGTCTCTGCAAGGCCAGTGGCCTCTGAACAAGTATTCCAGGGTCCATGGAACATCCACACCTACCACTTCAGCTGCTTCCTGCACTCCTCTGGGAGTGGCACCTTCTCCTGACACTCTAGCCTGCCCACTTGGTGGACACCTCCAACAGCCCCACCTCCTGGATGCTCACTTAGCACAAATCAGAATTCTTGCGTGCGCATCTTCCCATCCCCACCCCATCCAATTGACCTTGAGGTCTGGTCATCCCACCTCAGGAAAGGCTCGAACAATGCTCTCTTTCTCTGGCCCCGCACATTACCTGACTCATTGAAACAGTGCTTCTCTCCTCTTCCTCACAAACGTGTCTAAAAGCATGTAAAACCATGGTGACCTGCCTAACTCCTTCAGTAGCTCCCCAGAATAGAATCCAGCAAGGCTCTAAGTTCATTCCACAGTCGTTTATGCTGTATAAGAAGCCTTGCCAAAGCCCTGACGTATCCACAGTTAGGTTGTTTTATTGCTCAATGCCCTTGCACACAATGGTCCTGCTGCCTGGAATATCCTCTTTGACTGACTACCCGCTTTAAATGCCTTTCTTCACTAACTCTTACCCTTTCCTGACCTCCCCTCATGGGCTGCTCCTTTGTGCTCCCATGGTGTTTCCCTGCATTCATTATGTTTTGGTGTAAGTGTTGAACCCAGGGCTCACACATGCTAAGCACGTGCTTTGTCCTTGTCCTATACTCACAGCCCAGCCTTTATTTCTTTACATGTCTTCCCCACCATACCTTACTTGGTCATTTGTAAATCCTCAGCATGGTGCCTGCCAAGTAGAAGGCCCTTAAATAAATGTCATAATGAATGACTCATTTATGTGAGGGCTGAGGAGAAATTATAAACCTAAAGATAAAATCCGTACCACCTCAGTCATTCAGTTGGTATTATCTGCTGATTCTTTTTATTCCTGGACTCCAGACCTCACTTTGAATGCGCCTTTTTTTTTTTTTTTGACAGGATCTTACTTGTATCCCAGGCTGTCCTGGAACTGACTATATAGTCCAGGGCAACCTCAAGCTCATTGCAATCCTTGTACCTCAACTCACCCCCCCTCAACCCTGCCCCACCCTGAGTCATAGGATTACAGGCATGAACCATCATGCCTGACTTTCTTTGAACTTTTAATCTGCCTTTATGTAAGAGCAAACTGGAATGGAGCCTCTATTCAAGGTAGCCATATCTGACACGCAAAAAAATAAAAAAATAAAAAATGTGGAGAAGAGGAAGTAGTATTGCTAACAGGCATTCAGGGTTATTTTCTGAGATCAGAAAGCTTGTTCTCCTCCCAGGAGATGGGGGTGAAGGTCATGGAAAATGCAGACACCTTTGGCTGAAGCACTTTAACATGAAAATCCGGGGCCACAGAGTTGGATGTTTCCCCAATACACCTTGATTTGTACTCTTCCCAGACCATCTTCCGCAGTAGCATAGTAATAAGCTCTGCTGTTTTTCTTCCTTCAGTCTTGCAATTTCTTAAGCACCAACTGTGGGCTCAAGGCTGGGGATAGAGAAGTAGAAACAGGCAGTCTTCAAGCTCTCACAAAGCCTGTGTTCTGGTGGAGTGAGACAAGAACAAATGGACATAGCAATACAATGAATATTCAGTGAATAAAAAGCAACAGACCTGAAATACAGGATGATGGGGAAGGAAGGTGGCACTCTTGTGGGCATTGCTCAGAGAAGGCCAGCATGCTTTGACTATGCCCCTGACTCTTGGAACTTACCTCTGTCTCACTGCCTCCCCCGCTGTCCCACTTCGGTGGCCCTCTCATCACTCCCAATTCGATGTCATATTCCTCTCTCTCCTTCTCTGATAGAAGACTGAGGCATGCTGTGTGGCCCTCCCTTCCAGACCTACACCGGGTCCTAGGCCAGTACCTAAGAGACACTGCAGCCCTAAGTCCTGTGAGTACACCCCACCCCTCCCCTCCCCCAGTCACTCCACCACCAATGACTCTTGTTCCCACAATGCAACTTGTTCATGGTCTTCGCCTAGACATTTACTATCCCTAGGTGTTACTCCTTAGCCTAATTATTATTATACAATCCAGCAACTCAGCTCTTCTGGTTTTGCTTTTTGTTTTGTTTTGTTTTGTTGAGATAGGGTCTCTCTGTGTGGCCCTGGGTCTCCCAGAACTTGATATTTAGACCAAGCTAGCCTCAAACTCACAGAGATCCTTCTGCCTCTGCCTCCAGCCCTCCCCTTTGTAAATGTGCTGGGATTAAAGGCCTGCGCCATGTTTGGTTAAACTAGCTCCTTTTGCTCATCTCTCTCAGCCTAAAGCCACAGTTACTAATACCTGTGAAGAAGTGGAACCCAGCCTCCTGGAAATCCTACCTAAGTCCTCAGAGAGGACGCCTTTGCCCTTGTGTCCCTCCCAGCCTCAGATGGACTACCGAGGACTGCAGCCTTGCCTGAGAACCATGCCCCTGACTATGTGTCCACCCGTGGCTGAACCGGAGTCCTGCTGCACCACCCATATTGCCAACCATTCCTACCTGCCACTAAGCTATTGGCAGCAGCCCTGAAAACAGCCTCTTGCTACCACAGATCTAGGGCTCCCGACATACTACCTTGTCCATCCTTAACACCAACACCATCCATTCTGTTTACCCATCTCCTTGGGCTCTATAACACTGATCTTTCTATACGGCCATTGACAAATCCAGAGACCATTTCCACAGCCACTATATAAGGCTCCACTGCCTTTTTTTTTCTTGAGACACGGTTTTATTATATAGTCCTGATGGTCTATAACTATATAGAAAAAAACTGGCCCCAAACTCACAGAGATCTGCCTGCTGGAACTAAAGTTTCCAAGCCCTGCAATCCCTCTTTGGGGAAAAAGTTTCTACTTCCCCATCTCCTATTGACCCTTTATGCTGCTAATGAAACTGCAGACCAAGTTCACTTCAAGCCTTTTAATTATGAGATCCATAGGGTCTTGTTAATCATCTATTTATTTGATCTGTCAGCATTTTCCTCCTCCCTGGTTCTGCTCCTGCCTCTCTGAGCATACCAGCAGTAGAACCAACTCTGGAGTTAGATAGAACCAGGTTGTATGCCTACCTTTCACACCTGCTAGCTATGCAAACTTAAGCAAATAGCGGAAAGCCTTTGAGCCCTTCCCTCTCATCTACAGAACATGGACAATAGCCACATTGGGAAAGATATATGTTTAATGTACCTCAACTAGCATCCTAGTTATTTCTTCTCAATATCCTATTCTGGCCTTTATTATATGATGACCATTAGAAAGTTTGTCTCCAGCCCACATTTCTACTATAGCACCCATCAGGTTTTGTGTGACTTTTTACATATATATTTCTTGCTACTGAATAGTGAGCCATGAGGGCAAGGATTTGTTCTTTTCCCTGGCACCTTGAATACTGTTTGGAGCATGATAGGTAATAGACCTTCAATAAATGTTATCTAAATTAATGAAATCTTTCTGAATGATGTTGTCTTAATTCCATGCCAACTTGCTTCATATTTAAAGTCATTTCTATACAATGGTAAATAAACTCAAACCACTAAAGCTTCGGATTCCTCTAAGCCATTCATTTCTCAATCAACTATTATCATGTTTGGGTCTTTGCTAGCTCCAAATATATCCAATTTGTTAGTCAGGATCTTGGCAGAGACAGATAGACAAATTGGGTAATTTGGCAAGCTTATTTAATCTTGGGTTTGTTGTTTTTTTTTTTCAAAACAGGGTTTTCTGTGTAGCTTTGGAGCCTATCTTGGAACTCTCTCTGTAGAACAGGCTGGCCTCAAAATCACATCTGCCTACCTCTGCCTCCTGAGTTCTGGAATCAAAATCATGCACCAGATTTACTTTTTGGTTTTTTTGTGTTTTTTGTTGTTGTTGTTGTTGTTGTTTTGTTTTTGCTTTTTGGTTTTGTGTTTTCAAGACAGGTTTCTCTATGTAACAACCCTGACTGTCCTGAAACTCAATTTGTAGACCAGGCTGGATTGGAGATTCCTACTTCTGCCTCCCCAAAGCTGGGATTAAAAGTGTGTGCCACCACTCCCAGTCAATTTGACAAGCTTAATACAAGAGAACCATCAAGGAATAGTCCCTTGTACCATGGGGCTAATAACAACGCTGGCACCACCCTAGACATCAGATCGAGAGGGAATAACTACAAGACCAGTCTGCCTTTGGTAGGAGGAAGCAGAGGAGTAAAGAGTTCAAACGCTTAGTTTTGATTCTCTTGGAATAGAGATTCGTTGCAAGTGGCAGGGGGATGAATTATGAATATACTGTATTCCACCGTTTGCCACAACTTCATCCTTTTCTACCTTGATCCACAGAGCTGTTTCACAGAGTATGTATCGGATGATTTCCCAGAGCTTTGGTCTCTGTCTGGGTTCTATGGAAGGATATTGGTAAATTGTATCCCCTGTCTCCAAAATCCAGATATTGAAGTTTCAAACCTAAGTATCTCAAATGTGATTTTTTTTCAAACATGCTTATTACACACAAAATTAGTTAAAAATTAGTCAGTATGGTTGGTACTCTGGGTGGGGAGGAATTTAGACATAGTGAAAGGAGAAAGTTGAGAGAAAATGGCAAGAACTCCAAAAAACACCATCAAATCACCAGAAGCCAGGAGAGACGCAAGACAGATTCTTCCTCAGAGTCCTCCAAAGAAACCATTCCTGCCAACATTTTGGCCTGGCACTTCTAGCCTCAGAAGTGTGAGGTATTAAGTCATCTAAGACTTATTTGTAGTAGTCTGTTATGGAAATTGTAGCACACTCAGAGGCTGGGCTGAGCCTGCAGACTTCACAGTCTGCCTTGTTTTCTGCAGTCTCTTTTATTTTATTTTATTTTATTTTTTTTGGTTTTTCGAGACAGGGTTTCTCTGTGGCTTTGGAGGCTGTCCTGGAACTCACTTGGTAATCCAGGCTGGTCTCGAACTCACAGAGATCCACCTGCCTCTGCCTCCCGAGTGCTGGGATTAAAGGTGTGCGCCACCAACGCCCAGCCTGCAGTCTCTTTTAAACAGACCCCAAGCACTCGCTTCCCTTCCCTTCTCCCCAGAATCTCCAGTGGCTTGCTTCTCAAGTGGCCATACCTTTCCCTCAACTAGTTTATATCATAATTGTAAGGTTCATGGGTTTGTTTGTTTTTTGTTTTGTTTTGTTTTGTTTTTTCAAGAAAGGCTCTCTCTGTGTAGCCCTGGCTGTCCCAGAATTCACTCTGTAGACCAGGCTGGCCTCCAACTCACAGAGATCTGCCTGCCTCTGCCTCCTGAGTCCTGGGATTAAATGCATGCATCACCTCCCGGTTTAGGCCACCTTTTCTACGTTTTTTGAGGTTCAGGAACTCACCATTCGGAACTTTAGGGCATTAAATCTCTAGTTTTCCATGGTAATTAGAAAGAGAAAAACAAGTGCTTTAGAGCTAGAAACAACAGTGAGCTTAGACTAACAGCTGAAGATTCTTCTGCCATCATCAGGGTGACCTTAGCCTATGGACCAAACTGTCTTTTCTGACTCCTTCGTTTGGGCAGCATGTTGCTGGGATTGCAAAGGGGTGTCTTTGTTAACATCTCTTACTTCATTCTCACTTAATTTCTTTCCCTTTGTTTTTTGGAGACAGAGTCTATTACCTAACCCTACCTGTCCTGGAACTCACAGAGAGCCACCTGTCTCTGCTTCTAAGTGCTGGGATTCACGTGTAAAAGGTATGTGCCACCATGCCTGACTCTCTGGCCTAATTTTTTATATATAAAATAAAGACAGTTTATTTATCTGCCTTAAGAGCTCAGAGTATTTGCCAGATGTGGGGGCACATGCCTTTAATCCCAGTACTCCAGAGGCAGAGGCATCTGAATTTGATACCAGCCTGGTTTAGAGTGAGTTACAGGACAGTCAAGGCTACAAAGAACCTTGTGTGGGGGAAGTGGGGAAATGGGAGTCCAAGGCCATTCTTAGCTACATGGAGTTCAAGGCCACCCTGGGATATATGATAACATGGTTTCCAAAAAAAAGTATGTAAACTGCTTTAATGCAACAATTAGCAGATGCTCAATCAGTGGCATTCATTATTATTTGTATTAATGCTGTTTTACCTCTGAGCATATCCATTCATTAGAGCCCTGAACTAATTGGAAGCCAGACTTGGATCCTGGATTTTTTTTTTTTTTGGTTTTTCGAGACAGGGTTTCTCTGTGGCTTTGGAGGCTGTCCTGGAACTCGCTTGGTAGTCCAGGCTGGTCTCGAACTCACAGAGATTCGCCTGCCTCTGCCTCCCGAGTGCTGGGATTAAAGGCGTGCGCCACCAACGCCCGGCTGGATCCTGGATTTTTTGTTTGGTTTTAGAGACAGGGTTTCCTGTGTTGCTCTGACTGTCCTGGAACTAGCTCTGTAGACCAGGCTGGCCTCCAACTCACAGAGATCTGTCTGCCTCTGCCTCCCAGGTGCTGGGATTATAGGCGTGTTCCACCACTGCCTAGCCTGGATTTTTTTTTTTTTTGGTTTTTACGAGAGAGGGTTTCTCTGTATTGTTTTGGAGGCTGTCGGTCCAGCCTGGCCTCAAACTCACAGAGATCCGACTGCCTCTGCCTCCCGAGTGATGGGATTAAAGGCGTGCGCCACCACTGCCCAGCTTAGCCTGGATTTTTTAAAATATTTTTTTTAGATTATTACTGGAGGAAAGAGATGCACGATGGCATGGGTTTGGAGATCTGAAGACATCTTTTTTAAAATGTGTATAGGTGTTTTGTCTGCATGGATGTTTGTGCACCTCGTGCATGCCTGTGCTGGTGGAGGCCAGAAGAGGACATTGCATCCCCTGGGACTAGAGTTATAGATGGTTGTGAACTGCTATATGGGTGCTGGGAACTGAAACCTGGGTCCTCTGGAAGAGCACTCAATGTTCTTATCAGCTAAGCCATCTCTCTAGTCTCCCTCCTCCCTTAAAAGATTTTATTTTTATGCATGTGTGTGTCTGTGTGTCTACATGAGTATATGCCACCTGTGAGCTGAGTTCCCATGGAGCCCAGAAGAGCGAGGTGGATGCTCTGGAGCTGGAGTTACAGGAAGTTGTGTGCTGCTTGACAAACCAAATTCTGGTGGTATGGAAGAGCAGCAAAGTAGCTCTTAGTCCCTGAGCCACCTCTCCAGGTCCCAGATCTGGATTCTTGCCAACCTCTTTTCATGTCCTTGGGCAAATTCCTTGCCTTGGGCCTTAGTTTTTATATCAACATAACCTGGTTCTGAACCAGGTGTGGTGGCACACGCCTTAAATCCAGGGAATCTGAGTTCCAGGCCTGGATTGCATAGTGAGACCCTGGTCTCAAACAAACGAAATGGTTGTTGCTCACTGGCAGGTAGCATGCAACCCAAGTAAGACAGAATCTCTAAGATTCTCAAGAATCCAAAGCCTCACGAGAGTCAGCCATAGGATGTCCCCAAGAGCAGTCTAACCTAATCTTCATGACAGAAAGGATGGAATTCCGATATTTTTTAAACACTACACACACACACACACACACACACACACACACACACACACACACACACACACACTTCCCCTCCATCAGCCTTGTAGGGAAAAGGTTCCAACCAAAGAAAAACACTTTGGCCCTGCAACCAGAACTAAAGAAACGCACCCTGACCCTGAAACCAGTGCCAAAGAAACACACTTTGTCCTTGGCATCAGAGTCAGTGACAGAAAGGCACCCTGACCCTAAATCTAGAGCCAAAGGGCTAAAAAGGACCAGAGAAAGAAACACACTTTGGCCCTAAAACCAGAGCCAAATCTGACCCTAACCCTGTGCAGAAAACTAACCAATCCCTGAGCAGGAGATCTAGCCATCCTAAACCCAAGAAGCTGTATATAAACCCTGTGTCTGTTCAGCTTGTAACTAACTGTTCGTGCTGCCTGGCTGTCCTCTGCCGCAGTGGACACTCTCCTGGATTCTTCCCTCCCAATAAATCTCTTGAATGAGGTTTGGGTGAGACCTTCTTTCGCCACTTCGCTCTCCACTCTCCCAAGAGCAGAGCTGAACTGTAGCAACTTCGCCTGGGAAACCCTTTCCTGCCGGAGCAAAACTGGGAAAACATCCCCAGCTGGGAAACCCTCTCCTGCAGGAGCAGAGCTGACACAGTGGGGAAACCTTTCCCTGAAGCAAGGCTGTAAGCTGCTAAGATTACTGTGACCTGTGGTATTCCTTGGCTCCCAAGTGCCATAATCCATCCCTGTTCATCACATTCGATCTGGCGAAATGTTTACAAGCCTCACTTTGTGTTTTGTGAAGCACCACACACGCACGCACAAACGCATACTTCCTTCCTAGCAGGGTTTCTGGCTATCGGGCTGCACCCTACAAGTTCCCCGCCTCCCCATTCAGACTGCCACCTGCCCCGGGTCTCTAACCACTCGGGTTCTCAGCGTCGAGTTTACCCTTGTATATATAACCTAAGTA